GAATATTCTCTAACAGCTAAAGCTGCTGGTGCTAGAAGGAGCAGTTTGTATTTTCTTTATATAACAAAAACTCTTTTTATCTGCCCTACCTCCTAGTACTAAGAGTTGGGTGTACTGGCATAGAAAGGAAGAGAGGTTTGCTTTCTATTGTTACTCTCTTTCTCTGTATTTCTAATGCCTGAAAGAACTATGGGAGAAAGGTAGACATGTCATGATGATATGATGATAGCCTGTCTTCTCTTGGTGGTGGTATTTTGTTGTTGTTTTTTTGAAATTTGAAGAGATACAGAAAGAACCAGAAAAATGTTTTAGTCATGTTGCAATGGTTTCTACTATTAATGTTCACTTTTTCCATTGTTTGAAATATGAAAGACTAACTTGTTACTTTTGCTGTATTTGTAATGGTTTGATTCTATTCAGAATGTATACACTTTTTAAAAGAATATTTGATTGTAATAGTTCCCTTAACAGTTATAGTCTTTGGTATCTAACTTCTGATTTGTGAAATAAAAATTTTCTCCATAGCTATCATAAGATGACATATTTCAGATGTAGTAAACTTCTGTTATCCCTTCACAGAAAAAAATTTTCTATTGCAATAGACTACTTTTTTTACACTACTATGAGGCTGTGCAAGTAATCATTGTGGTAGTCATTTTTAATAACACTTCTAAAGTTAATTATTTTAAAAATAATACCTATAATTGTTATTTTTGTTTTGCTGAGAAATGGAATATTTATTGATACAAATTTAAATGCCTATCAGTTTTAGATATGTTACTATGTGATTAAAATGTTCTTATAAAACTACAGTGATGCATATTTTCCTTTGTTGTTAAGTATAGTAATGTGTGCTATTATGTTTTAAGTAATAACCATATATTGATTTTTTGTTCTCTCAAACTCCAAATACTGAAATTAATTTTTTATTATTTCCTATTCCTGTCTATAAACCTTTGATGATAATAGATTTTTTAAAGCAATGTATTAAGCAGATATGAGAGCTGTTAACTGTGCTTCCTTTAGTAATTATTCATATTTCATTTCTCAGCTAGGTGATTTTTATCTAGAACTTCACTGGGATTTTCAAAGCTGGGGTAAGAATGTGCTGTGTTTTACTATGAAGTATGTACTCATGCAGAAATGCAAGTGTAAAATCACTATTACATAGAAATGTTAGCATAGCAAATTTTATACTTGCTCTAAGGAAACATGTTTTTCATGATGTTGAATGTAATGGTTATAAAGCCTTGTAGTAATACTTAATTATCCCAACTTCATTAGTAACTTTAATAATTCTTATTTTTAAGGTTGAAACTCTATTTTTTAA